GCTTAAATAAATAAAAAATAAATAAAAAAAAAAGCTAAACCAGCTATTTTTAAAATGATAATTAGTAAAACTGTATATCACATATATAACTCAATCCAAACACCAGTGACATGACCCAGCCAGTCCCCAAAATACTCATGAACACAAACAAGCAAACACCTCCAATGCTTGCTAAGAGTCCAGTCACTTAATAAGAACATAAAAAAAAAATAAAAAACAGCAAAAGAGATTAAACTGGAACATAAATTCATAGGTTATGGCACAGTGTATTAGATAGCCAGGGTGTGATATCACGAAGAACTTCCACTTGCTCTCTGAATTTCCCCAGGAAAAACCAGAAGCAAAGGCAGTGCTACTGGGACTGCACCTCATTTCGGGAGAGGTGAGAACAATGCCCTCGAAACCCCGAAGTGATCAGTACCTCGCAAACACCAAACCCCAAACATTTGGGATGGCAAGTTTTATCACGTGTGAAGGTTCTGGTGGTTAAGCCACAGATCACACAGGAAATTTCTCCTGACGAAAGCGAAGAGCTGCGGCACAACACCTCATCGCAGAGACCTACCAGGGACTTCTGCAATGGAAAAGGACTCAGGATTGAAGAGGTGTTTGGCTTAGCTCAGCGTGGAGGGAAAGCAAGGTTACGTCTGTGGTTCACCACAACCCTCCGCTCCTGAAATAGCCATTCCTCTGACAGCGCCGCGTGCAGTAAAATTCCACGGGATCGGAGCCACGGGCAGAGCTTTCCCATGCTCTGCAACGCTGTGCCCTCCTCCGTGGCCTTATCCCCCTGCACGCTCGTCACCACGAGCGCCCTGTGCGTCCCTGCACATGCAGAGGGTGGTGAAGCCATCTCTGGATAAGAAGCCGTTTTACCCCCGAGATACAGCCCATGCGACATCCTGACAGTCATTCTTATCCTTCTCTCTCTCACCTCTCCTCCTCCAGCTGCACAGGAGCTCAGCCTGCTGGAGGTCCAGCCGTGGCACCTCACACCCTTCAACCCTCCTTGGCTAACGGGGAAAATGTCTGGGTTAAAATCAGGTGGCATTCGATGTGGGGAAGATTTGCTGAAGAGGGCAGAGGTGGAGAAAACAGCTGCTGCCCCTCACATCCAGCCAGCAACTTGGATCCTGGAGCAGGAGGCGTGATGGTTTGATAATAAACACACCAGTTTTTAGGGATAGGAAGGGTTTCAGTGCTCCCTCAGCTGCTCCTCATCAGGCTTGTGCTCCAGATGCTTCCCCTGCCCTTCTCTGGACTCACCTCGATGTCTTTCTTGTACTGAGGGGCCCAAAACTGAACACAGGATTGAAGGTGCCTCAGCAGTGCTGAGTACAGGGGGACAACCACTGCCCTGCTCCTGCTGACCACACTACAGGAATAGGGCAGTGGGAATCAGGGCTTTCCTATAAAAGCACAGACTGTTGGCAAGGTAAGCCATGCTAAATCTCTGCCTCTCAGAATCACTTTGGTTGGAAAACATCCTTCAGATCTTGGACGAACGCATTGTTTCTCATCTGCTTTTGCAGACTAAGGTTAGTCCAGCAGAGCTGCAAGCAAGGGCCTAGACTCCTAAAAAGCAAAATTAACCACATTTAAGAAAATTCTGCATGCCTGTAGCCCTCCTGCTCCTCACCACTTCAAAGGTACTGGTTTCTCTCCCATTCCACAACAAACTTTCACAGCTTTTTTGCTAACCCTGCCCTTTGCTCCACAGACACTAATTCTCCTTCAATGGATTAGCATAATTAAATTAAATTTGGGCCAATTTTTCCAGCAGTTGTCCTGCTAAGCCTAAAACTTGTTCCTTCCAAAGAAGGGCTCGTGCGCCTAAAAGGCAGCCTGGTTTTTTTCCACCTCTATCATTCTGGTCTAATAAAAGATATTACCTCTCCCCACGACCTGTACCTCTCTCTTGAGCACACTTGAAAGGAGAAAAAATGTTTACCCAGAAAGAAATGTAGCTGGCAAGTTATTTCCCCTGGCTGCCTCGATACCTCGGAAGGTTATTTGCGGGCTCATAAAGAACTCTTTCTCCCTCCCAGCCCGGCTACTTCCAGTGCTCAAAGCCGCAGCCCAGAGCCCGTGAACTCCTAACCTGTTGCTGCAGCAACGGCTGCAACGTCCCAAATGTGATGCAGGTCCAGTCCCACAGTCCCCAGGTGCCCAAAGCACCTGGCATGACCCTGAAATGGAGCCCTGGTGCAACGGAGGCGGTGCCAGGAAAGGGAGAAGGAGACACAGGCACCTTTTAACTCAGTCACCCCCTGGAAATAACAAAACCTGAGCTAGAAAGCCTGATGTGCCTTATTATAAAATAAAGTACTGCAATTCAACCTGAATTAATTTCTCATTAAGAGCTTTCAGCACATAGAGAGCAAGTTAAGAGCATTAAGGAAGGGAAGAGCAAACCCACTGCCTTAGATTGAGGAATGAGGAAAGCACAGCAAGGGAGAGCTAAGACATCAGTGCCTGAGTGAATAGGGACAGGTCTGTTCTCCCCCAACAACTTTGGCAGTTCTCTCTGTTTCAACAGCCCCCCAAAAAACCCCAATGCGTTGGGTTAAGTGGCCAGACCTTGGCTGTGCAAACAGGATCCCTCATCCTCCAGCAAATTGCTGTGGCTTCTGCCAGCCCAGCCTGCAGTTGTCTTCTCCAAACACAAGCACTCTGTCAAGGCAATACTATAAACAAGCATCATTCTCCCGTATCCCACACCTCAGATGACCTTTCTGCCGAAGCAAAAGCCACACTCACTCCAGCAAAGTACTAAAGGCCTGCATCTTTGAGTTAGATGTAGATACACCCAGCAGAATAGATCAGCCTTCCTGGAGTTTTTATCATCAGAAACACGTAACCACAACTAAGAACACTGAAATCATTTTAAAACAAAAAGAATAAAGTCAAGCAACAAACAAGCTGGTGCTTTTTCTACCGATTTCTGTGTTTTGTTTTTTTTTTAATGTTACTTTTACTGTGATGTCATGTTTAAACAGCCATTTTTAACACCTATTGGCTGTGGTCTTTGCACTGTGTTGTATTGGAGACATGGACATATCTTTAAATTACGAAGAGGTCTTGGAGATGGAAACAGGCTGTGTGTGAGCTGAAGGAATAAAAAGACCCACTGCCAAGGACTTGGGGTGGCCCCAATCTGGCACATGTCTAGAGACTGTCCTGGACCTGCAACAGCACTGGGATCCCACAGCTGCACAGGGCTGGTCCAAGCACTGCACGACACAGCCAAACTGCTCCGTCAGAGGTGCAGCCCATGGAGACGCTAGAAGTCCCCACTTCCTGTCTTGTGGTCTCCAGACAAGGTCATGCAACTTCCCTAGAACATGTTTAGGAGTGAACAGTCCTGTGCTGAACTTTGAGACACTGAGCAGACTAAAAACAGGATCCCAGGAAGAAAGGTAGACCTGGAACAGACGGTCAGAGGTCACTTCATCCAACACATCGCTGTGGTCTGTCAGAGGGGAATCAGTGACGTAACTGCACATTCCCTGCACTTCCCTTGAAAATGCTCCCTCATCCCAGTGAGGGATCAGGAAAAGGGGGAGAAGTGAAACCAATTAACCCTCAAAATTTTAGCCCAGATTTCTGTGCGTCAGCAAAGCTGTTGCAACGATTCTTTAACTAACAAGCTCCACTTGGAGACAAACATCACTTCACCCATCTCATCTCGACAGCCAAACCATAGACCAGGCTCGGGAACCACAACGTGATCCTTTCTGGATGCAGCCTGGCAGATCTAACCAGTCCCTGCACAGAGGCTGATGCTGTCAGTGATGAGCTGTAGCAACGACATCTGGGGAAGGGGGACACGCACAGCACCTTCCACCCACACACAACTCCAAGTATAACTGCAAACCTGCACAGGACTCTACTGATTCAGCTCATATTCACCAAATAAACCCCACAGTGCCTTGCAAAAAGGCGTTCTCTTCACTGCAGAATTCCCAGAATTAACGCTGCCCCAGTGTATCCATATTATGTTCACAGCTGCCAGGCTGAAGGCACCTCGAACAGGTTCTATCAGCCACTCTCCGTACAAGAAGTCATCAAATTGACAGGGAGCTGGATTGGAGCCAGCAACTCCTTCCCTCCTGGTGCTCAGAGTGAGTCTGAACTTTCCTTCTCAAAAAAATCCACATCGCATTGACAAAGGAGCGGCTTTTGCCTTCAAAGTGAAAATGTTTCTAAAAAATGGTGGGGTTTTTCAACAGCGATTTTAAACTGAAAGTTGTCATTCTTTACATTGGAGAAGCAGGTCTGGACTTTCCTTCCCTTTTTGTTTTTTTTTTTTTTAAATTTAACTTTAAATTAGTTGTCTACCGATAAAATCTCTTCTAGGTAACAGAGAAAGAGCAAAAAGAACAGAGACATAAAGCCAGGATAGGGTAAGTACCTCTTTTCTCCTCCATGAGGGAGGACAAACAATTAAGGTGTGGCAGTGGCTTCACACTTCTCATTTTTTAAATTCAAACCAGTATCAAATTCTGAATCACGTTTCTACAAGGCTTTTTGTAAGGGCAGGGCAAGAGGGAATGGCTTCAAACTGACAGAGAGAAGGTTTAGATTAGATTCGAAGAAGAAATTCTTCCCTATGAGGGTGGTGAGACCCTGGCTCAGGTTGCCCAGAGAAGCTGTGGCTGCCCCATCCCTGGAAGTGTCCAAGGCCAGGTTGGATGGGGCTTGGAACAACCTGGGCTGGTGGAAGGTGTCCCTGTCCATGGAATGGGGTTAGAACTGGATGATCTCTAATGTCTCTTCCAACCCAAATTCTGTGATTCTGTGATTCTGTGATTCTAGCATGTTTGCAAGGACAATCTCTACATTTACACATATTATCCCCCCCCCCAACACCTCTTCTTATTTTATTTTAAAAAAGTTTCCCTCAGCACCACAGAGCATCTGACACACAACTACTCCAGTCCCAACCAAAATTAACAGGCAGCAGAAAATTAATTGCTTCGGGGGAATCCAGTTCTTACCCATCTTTCCATCTACATCAGGCCTCCATTCCACCGGTCCCAGACACTTGTACCTTATCCTCCACTCTCAAGCATCCACCCTGTAACAAACACAGAGGTTACAGATTAATTTTGACATGTCAGTGGAGTCACTGTGCAGGACCACTTTTCACAAAGCCTTTCCCGACCCTCACCTGGGCTGGAGGAAAGAGGAGAACCCCAAAGGTAACACATTACAAAACTGGTACTGTAATGGTTTGTAGATCTTGGAGTAAATAACTTATACTTGTGCCAGAGATCTCCTTTCCTTAAGCGCAGAACATTTATTTGAAATGTATTTTTACATTATTAATGCAAACTTGAACTAATAGAGTCTTTTAACACATCACGTTCCACAGCATCCCTATGGGATAACACCCACTTGGGGAATGGACTGACAGCAGGACACAGAAAGACAATCCAAGAGGCAGCCTGAATCAAAGCAGAAACCTAAATTTAGGCCTTCCAAACACCAGCCAAGGTTCCTCAAGGCTGGACCAGCTTTCCTCTGATCACGTGGGAAAAAAAGCTGAGCCTAGGCAGCTCTCAGCAGCAGTGTATGCCCCATACACCCCTCGTGGCAGGTATGTCCCTAGGAGCCCTTCCAGAGTTTCTGCCTTTTATCTGTCCAACACCAGTGCAGGAATGGGTTCAGCTACCTGCCATATTGCACTGAGCCAAACCTCTGCACCCAGTAAGGCTTGGGGTTTTTTTTATTTTTTGGTCACTGAGGAAGTAAAGGAGACCTGAGCGTTCTGGAGCCAGTCCTGCTCCCTAGTGAAAAAAAACCCACCTCATTTTAGACTGAATGAAAGCAAAACCCACCTAAAGGTGAGTAGCTTTTAAGATAGAAAACATCATCAAAGCCCACTTTGGCTGCCTGGTAAGTCCTCAGATTTCCTGGTTACAAACCTGGGTGAGAGCAGAAGAAAAATGGAGAGACATTTCAAGTACCTCACCAGACTTGCAGAGGGAGTGAGACATTCCTGTCCTGCAGTGACTGCCCCAAAGCTAACGAGAGCTCCAGGACACCAACACAGACCCTGGAGTGTCACGTGTGATAGGCTGGTCAGAAACGGCAGGAAAAGGCACTTTGAAAATCTCCCAGCTCGGCCAAATCAATTCCAACACGGCAACAAGTCTGAGGTGAGCCGGGAAGGATCACAAGAGCGGATTAAAACGATTCTCTGCGGCCCTGGCGCCTCGGTGCTGGCAAGCAGCAGGATATTTACCCAGCCTATTTTGAGAGAGACGAGCAGGAAGGGAAGGCGATAAGAAAGCAGCAGAGGCGGAGATGTCCCTGTGCCCCAAAGTGCTGTTGTTCCTTCTGCTGCTGCAGCTTCCTCTCAGGACAGCACCATTCAGCTTAAGAACCCACAGCCACTCTGCTCTGTCCGTTTGCCAAACAAACGAGGAGGCAAGGAAGTAACTAAAAGGCCTGGAAGGTTAAAAATCCTACCTTGAGAAGGAACTGGTTGGTCTATGCAGCGCTGAATCAAGAGAGAGCAGAAAACCAGCAAGAAAGCAGGGTAAAAACCCCATCTGATTATGATTAGAGCAGGAAACGGCCCAAAATCTTCACTCTTGCTCTCAAAATTGATGCGACATTTCCAGCAATTAAGCTTTGTGCAGAGTTTGCACTGAGGGCCACAGGCAGATAGCAGATTAGCTGCAAATTCCTGGGATAGCCCAGGTTAACCCTCCTATCGGTGCAGTAGATTTTTCTAATGGCTTTCTGGAGACCTTCCAGACCTTTCCAATCCATATCTAGCCACAAAAACATGCCCCTGCAGGAACTGTGCAAACGAACCCTGGAAAAAACAGGTGACCTTTCCATCCAGCAGAGCCCTACCCTACCCTGTGCTGTTCTCCATCACCTCTGCCACAGCAAACCCCTGAGAGCCCACTGCCCAGCTCTCGTGAGCAAACCAGCCCCTGCACACAGGGCAGGAAATCTCCATGGATACACGAGAGAAAAAAAGGTTTTCTGTTTTAGCAGATCTCTTCAATCCTGAGCACGGCCAGCCTTCAAATTGGACTGCAAACACTGGCGATTTCCGTGGCTTCCCAAAAATACATACCAGCAGCTTCCTGTTACAGAAGGACAAATTCCTGTTTCTAGTACAAATTCTGTCCTTTTATTATCTCCCTTAAAAAAAACGGAGGGGGGAGGAAAAAAAAAATAAGTTGGGGGGGGGAAGAAAAATCCTTTTCCTACTCCAACGCAGTTCCAAGAAACTCCCCCCTTCTCCTCCCCACTAAGATCCCTGATCAGAGCCTTCAAGTGCTGGCAATTTGTGACACAAACCAGTGAGCATTTGAGCTCCCACCTGGCACTGCACTGCTCCCACAGCTCACAGAGCCGCTGTAAATCTACTCCAAATCTCCACTGCCAGTCTCCCTGGCAGGCACATCCTGCCTGGGTAAGCAGGTCCTACCCAAATGCCTCCTACCAAGCAGTGGGAGAGAGCTCGGCAACCTGACGGTTCCCAGGGACGATGGGGGGGATGTTCTCGTCGTGTTCCAGGTTTGTGTCGTGCACCAGAGAGGCTGTGCCTGCTCCCATCTGCTCAGGAAACTGCTGGAAGTTGCTTAACCTGCAGGAATCCCAGGACAGGTGCTCCCACCTAAAAGCAGCTCTGGTTTGAATGAGCTGAGCTCAGTTCTGCAGGCAAAGGGGCTCAACTTGTGGCCACACGTGCAGGGTATGAGTATCTACATGAGAGCTGTGTGTAAGGTTATTAATCCACTTTAAAAATTAATCCCAGTTTTTCCCTTTTCTTCCCGTACTCCTGCCTGGGAAGGGATTAAGCAAGATTGAGTTCAAGTGAGACAACAGTTCATCTATGACGTGTCTGTGTGACGTGGAGTCACACATAACTCCTGCCTCTCTGGATCTAAGTTGCAGAAAGCAAAGCAGAGGAAGACACGATGGAGAAGTGTGGGGTTTTTTTCCCCTGGATGATGAAAAAGTGACTAGAAGATTTACTGGGTAGGATGGGGGTTAGGAAAGCACTGGAGTCACCTGCAGCGTGCTATTGATTTGAAGTGGGATTTACAATATCACCTGCCCCAAAAAGGGCTCATCTTACCCCACAGAGGCTCGGCATCCAACATTAAACACGGATTCTAAGTCAGGATGTCTTGCCACTACTGCAGCACAAGCAAGTGGCATCTACCTCTGTCATTTATCATCTCCAGGCTTCCAGGGAAAGCAGCACCTACTTATTCCTGCCTGAGCACCACTTAACACTTCGGTTTGAAGGTGTAGGGACACACCACTGTAAAAAAAAAAAAAAAATAATAATAATAAGCCACAGTTGCCCCTGAAATAGGGCTCAGCTGGAAAGCTACTGAAACTAACATTGCTAAAATTGGGACTTTCCTTGTTTTTTCAAGCAGCAGGGAACATGTTGGGCTCAGAGTTTAACAAGCAAGAGTCAAGCGGAAAAAATCTCTCCTTTTTAAGAGTTGACCACATTAACTTTCAGCAAGTTTCCGGGAGTCCTGCCAGAGCGCTGGAGTTTTGTATACTACGGAACTGTTAAAAATATTATTGTAAATGTTATTTTCAAAAAGCTTCAGAGGCCAGGGCTGGGGTAGTGTTAAAAACAACAGCAAAGCAAATGAGATTGTTCTAACGGCGAGAATACAAATGTATGTGTGCTGATAGCTCAGTCAGCCTGCAGGCTTGGCAAGGAGGGATTCAAAAGAGAAGGGAGAGTGGTTGGAATATTACAGGTTTTCACTAATCATCCCAACCTCATCCTTATGGTTTTCTACAGGCAACACAGAACATCTGACCTTCTGTTCATAGAACTGCCCTGGAAGGTGGGTCCATATTTCCCAGATACACAAAAGAGCAGCTACATTTTGGTGCCACTTCAGACACATAAGACCCCTCTCTCATGGAATTTTCCAGTCGGGATTTCCAAAGGGTGCACCATAGGGGGACAGTCAAAAAGCAGACATTTAAGACTATACATCTAGGTAGACGTGACCTTTAAGGACTTGTTCTGGTGGTGGACTTGGCAGTGCTGGGTTAATGGTTGGACTTGGTGATCTTAGAGGTCTTTTCCAGATCCTGTGATTGCACTGTTAATTAGCACGCAACTGGTGTGTCTCCACGCCAGGTTTGCAGGTGTATCTCCCAGGAGGGCTCAAAGGACAAACCTCATGAGCCAAGATGAGGAAGAAAAAGCCTTTCCTGAGCATGCACTGATCAGGGTGCTAAGCAAGAAGTGACACACAGAGTCCAGCACAGCTCACTGGAAGAGCCAGCCAGTGCCCTGGGAATTACATCTCATGAAACTAACAAGCAATTCTACAGGAATACCCATCAGCTGAGGCTTCTTCTCTCCATCTTTGTGTGCAACGCATCCAAAACTGCTCAAGGAACTTCTCCACAACATATGTTGCCGTTAGAAGAGATCTATGTTTAAGAGCCATGGTGCAGTTTGCAGGATCCTTCAGTCAGTGGCCCAGCCAGTGCAGCTGTCCTCAACAGCTGCCTCTGGAGAAGAAATCTCCTGAACCAGATTCTTGACTTCAGCACAAAGTGTAGGTAGAATAAGAGCTTTAAAACCTGCCTGACTCCTGCTGTTAACTTCCACTGCAGCCCTCTAAAACAGTCATTGAGATCCTTAATCCTCTCCTTTCCCAAATGACTTTGTAAATTAAATGTTCCAGACAGCAAACTCGAGTAAGACATCATGGAATGGTTTGGGTTGGAAAGGACCTTAAAGCACATCTCTTTCCAACCCCCTGGAATGGGCAGGGACACCTTCCACTAGCCCAGGTTGTTCCAAGCCCCGTCCAACCTGGCCTTGGACACTTCCAGGGATGGGGCAGCCACAGCTTCTCTGGGTAACCTGTGCCAGGGCCTCCCTACCCTCACAGGGAAGAATTTCTTCCTAATATCTAATCTAAATCTCTCCTCCTTCAATTTAAGGCCATTCCTCCTTGTCCTGTCACTCCATGCCCATGTAACAAGCCCACCTCCAGCACTCTTGTAGCCTCTTTAGGTACTGGTATTTTTTTCACTTTGTTTACTTGCTTTACA